AGGGTTTCCGAGGGTGTAAATCTTTATAGGAGTAGAAAGCCTCATCTTTCTCCTGCGGAGCGGCTGGTAGTTTCGAACCGCTGACCTTAAGGTTCGCAGCCCGATTCTTAACCACTACGCTACCAGAGTATTAGAGGAGGAAAAACTAGGGAATTGAATTCTACCGGAATGTTTCTGTGGAGGGCCAGGACCCATCTGGGCCAGGTGGATACAAAGCACATGCAGATATATGCAAATAAGCATGGCTCTCCCAGGTGTCCTTTCTTCTTCCCTTTGGGAGTCCAACTCTAACACTCGACTAGGTGGGTAAACCCCAGAACTGTGGGTGCTGGGCTCAGACACTCTTTCCTGAGCAGGAGGGAGGTTATGGGCCTCCAGTAGCATTTCATCTGCTAATCCCCAGCCTGCTGAGGTGTCAGCCTCACTGATCTCCATGAGGTGACCCCGGGTGCTGGCAGTCACTAATCTCCAACTCTAGATGCTCAAGGGCTACTCAGCAAGGCAGTGCCCTCTTTCTGGAAGTTTGAGGGGAGGGAAGAGCCCTCCCACTTCACCCTTAATGGCAAGCCCTGAAGCCCAGAGAAGCAGAAATTAGTCCAGGGTCACACAGCCTAAAATGGGCTCAGCAGCCAGCCACCCTGCCAGCCCTGGCTCTCCGCTGGTGTAGTGGCCGGGAAGACAGTTTTTCAGGGATCCTGGGAACAGGCTTTTCTCCTCAGAGCCTGTGGTTCCCACGGTTACTGAGGAGGCTGGTGCCCTCACAATCACAAGCTGCAATGAGCCTTGTCACTGTAGAATGTTCCTTTATGATCCTGCCATCCCATAAGGTGCCAGCCTCACTTCCTCGCTTTTGTCCCCACTGAGCAGTCAGAAGAGCAGGAAGTCCTTAAAAGCCTGTGCTTCACAGATAAGGTAGCTGCTGTTGTCTGTCATAAACAGGGAGCTCTCCTTCCCCCCTCTTACTACTCCACTTCCTGGCCTCTCCCCACGAAATCCTGTCCTGAGGCCCAGGCCTCCTCACCTTGCCTTCCTACCTCACATTTCCAGTCTCTCAGGTGCTCTAACTAAGGGTCAGGAAGAAAGCAGTTTACAGTGGCAAATTCTTATGAAAATGTAAAGGACTGAAAGGTTTCTAGGAATATCTGCTTTTTAAAGAGAAGAATTTGGTAACCAGTCATGTTTTTCAGTTCAAATATTTCATGTCTTTCCCCTTCTTTAAAACTTATCTATGTATCCATATAGAATTTTGAGTAAAGGCTAGACAACTTAGCTAGGACCACAAAGTTCTTATCAGTCATCCTGAGGCATATGGCATACTGAAGGACACTCTGAACTCATCTGCTGCTCTTTAAAATCATTCCCTGACTGTCCCAACCCCAAAGTTCCCCAAGCCTTCACATATACTCTGTACCCACGTCCCCCATAACCCGTAGCACATCCTGTGTTTATGTCTGTCCATCCCTCTGTTATTTGGAAGTCCTTGACAACACCCATGGAGATCCCAAGAACAGGGCTTGGCATATAGAGTAGGTGCTTAATAAATGTTCACCAAATAGACAAGCCGGCATTGACCCAGGTCAGGTTCCCAATGGAAGGGTGTCTGGCTGGCTGGAGCCCAAGGTGAGCTCCTCCGTACACTCTGCCTCCAGCCATGGCCCGAATCATCGACCTGGTACCTTGGGATGATGGCTCCACCCATATGTACGCATCCCCGGCTATCCTGCTCCCTATTGGACGGAAGCGCAACCCGCTGGCTGGCGTAAAGCACCAGCTGTATCACCCGACCCTGCCCAGCCTGCGCCGTATGGACATGGACACTGTACGGGGCTGCCTCTCTGACGAGCACTGCCAGTCCAGCACTTATTCTCGCAAAGGTCAGGCCACCTTGGCTGTCCCAGGCTCTCACTGGCACTGGATCCTCTCTGGGCCTTTGTGGACGGGTGTGAGAAGGAGAGAGATCTCAGTGGATTAAGTCACAAGTGGTAGGGGTAGGGGTCAATGGGATCAGCTGCAACTCTGCTGCTTGAAGCCTAGGAAACCTCCAGTAACCGCTTGGCATGTCTGAGCTATTAGCGACTATGCTGGAATGGGTCACCTTCTACCCACATTATTTCCCATGAGCACAGGTGTAAAAGGGGACACACTTCCAGAAGTAAGACTGTGGACAGGGCCAAAAGGTATAATTCTCATCTTTCTGGGTGCCGTAGAATTGATTGATCCCACATGACAGAGAGTTTTCTCTGTATCTTTAAGGGAGCAGATTGTCAGATCTTTCTCCCTCAGAGCCATTGGTGGGTTTGAATTGCTAACTTTTCAGTTAGCAGCCAAGGGCTCCACTGTTTGCACCTCCCGGCTTCTTAAACCAAAAACATACCTACTGTCACTGAGTTGGTTCTGACTCATAACTACCCTGTAGGACAAAGGAGGGACTGCCTCATAGGATTTTGGGAGACTGTAAATCTTTAGGGAAATAGCCTCATCTTTCTCCTTCAAAGCAGCTGGCGTATTGAAACCACTGACCTTGCAGTTAGCAGTCCAGTGCTTATCCCATAGCAGCCCCAGGGCTCTTGAGATTATGTAAATTGCCTTTCACACGGTGGAACCAATGTACACCCAACATTTCCCAATACCTGCACTAACATTTCAACTATTTCCAATCTGACAGACAAAAATTTGTATCTTAGTATAGTTTAAACATGCATTTATTTTATGTAGTGTTATTACCACGAATGAGGTTGAATGTTTTTCTAATGGCTAGAAGCCATTTGTATCTCTTTTGTGTGAAAACTACCTTTGCATGTTGTTTACCTACTGGGTAGTGATCTTGATTTCTAGGAGCTCTTCCTATAATTGGGGGATTGCCCCTCATTTGTAATACAAATAGCTATGCATTTTTTTCCATTTGTCTTTTTACTTCTATTATGTTGTTTTATGATTTTATAGAGCCAAAGTTCTCAATTTTGTCTTTAAGGCTTCTGGATTCTGAATTAGAGTTAGCAAGGCCTTCTTGCTTCAAAGTTATAAAGGACTTTGTGTTTTCTTCTAGTACTTAAATTTCATTTTTTTGTTACATTAAATCTTTGGTCTGTGTGGAGTTTATTTCATTGTAAGTGGTGAGGTATGGATGCTACTTTATTTTTTTTTAAAGACTTTTTATTATCATTTGGGTGAAAATTTAGAGCAAATTTGTTTCCCATTAACAATTTATACACATTTTGTTTTGTGACATTGGTTGCAATCCTCTCAATGTAATGAACACATTCCTCCCTAGCTTCCCAGTGTCCATTGTCCTGTCCTGCCCCTTCCTGCCTTCTGAGCTTTGTTTTGGAGCAAATGCTGCCCTTTTGGCTTATGTGGTTGATTGTACATTCCTCCCTGGTATCATTATTATTGTTGGCTTTTTAGACCTGTCTTAGTGTGGCCCTGTAGGATGAGCACTGAACTGTTAACCTAAAGGTAGATGGTTCAAACCCACCAGCTGCTTCTAGGAAACCCTACACAGACTCATTATAAGTCGGAAAAACTCGAATCAACAGCAACAACATTGTTTAGCCCAGAAGCCCTGCTAGCACTGTAGGATAAACCCTGGACTGCTAACCACAAAGTCAGCAGTTCAAATCCATCACCCACTCCCTGGGAGAAAGATGAGACTTTCTGCTCCTGTAAAGGTTTACAGTATCAGAACCCCTACATAAAGTACCATGAGTCAGAATTGACTTGCTGGCAGTGGGTTTGGTGGGTTTTATTGCTTAGCTGAATATCTCTGTTTTTTAAGGTTGTCAAATATTTCAAAAATGTTTAAAGCACAGTGTTGTCCAAATCTCTCCTGTGTGAGGGACATACAACCACCAGGGGACAAGACCCGTTTCCCTGCTTCTCCTCTTTTATAGATGAGTTTGACAATGCCCACTTTACTCTCCTGGGGGTCCCCAACAAACCCCTGCAGTGCTTGGTGAGTGTCCTTTGCCCCTGGCCCTGGATTAGCTCAGAGAGAGGACACAGCCCCAGCGTACTCCCAGCCCCAGCACTTTGGGTTCTGGGCTCTGCTCTTCGCGCAGACGCTCCAGAACCTAAGCTCAGGGCCCGCTTGGGACTCCCGGCCCGCCCCTGGCCCTGCCTCGGTTAGATGGGTCAAGTGTTAGCTCCAGACTACGGAGTGGTCTGGGACAGTCCCCCAGATTCTCGCATCTACCTCGGTGGCCCTGAATCCCATCGCCCCGGCAGGATGTCACGGAGACAGGGCAGAAGCTCCGAGGCAGGTACGGCGCTGGCAAGCTAGCGCCCATCGCTCCGGGCATCAACAGGGTCGACTGGCCCTGCTTCACGCACGCCATCGAGGATTGGTCCCACTTCGTATCCTCGGCCGGCGAGTTTAAACTGCCCTGCAGTGACAAGACGGGTCTGTCTACCCAGCGCGGAGGATGCACTAGGACCGGGCTAGAGCTGGGGCGGGAACCACGGGCAGGAAGGCAGAGCTCACGGGGGCGCTGCGGACTCACACCAGAACCTGACCGGGGAGCTGGGGAGCAGTGAGAGCAATATTGTCGGTGGGACTGAGACTGGCTGAAGGTCGGGAAAGCCCAGCTTGTCTGAGGGGAGGAGGAGGCAGACGTGAGCCCGACCCAGGCCTGAGAAGTACCCACTGACGCCTGGGGACAGGGTGTGTTTTGGGGCGAGCTAGGGGCGGAGCTTGTTCTGAGGCGGGCTGGAGGCGGAGCTTGTTCTGGGCGAGACCTGCTCCGGGCAGGTTGGGGGCGGGGCTTGTCGGGGGTGTGCTGGGAGCTCCAGAGGGGTTGCACTTTCCGCAGTTGAGAGCTTCAGTGGTTACGCAGTGCGGCACTTGAAACCGGATGTGAGCCAGAGCTGGCGGGTAGGAAAGGCTGCGCGCTGACCGCGTCCCCGGGGCCTGGTTAGGGAGCTGCGACCTGGGGAAGAGGCCAAGGGCAGGGTCTCCTAGTCCCCAGGAGGGGGCGCTGTGTGGGACGTGGGCGGGGTTCGCGCCTGTCCAAGTCTGAAGGCCCTCCCTATATCCCTCTGGCCGCTTCAGTTCTGTCTCAACCAGAACCCCAGCTTGGACCGCTACGGACAGAAGCCCCTACCTTTCGACTCCATGTAAGTGCCCAGAATCCCAGACCCGGGAGGAGGGCAGGGGTTCTTTGCTGCTCTCCCCAGCACACACCTAGTAGCTCTTGAAAATGTGTCAGAACCTGGGAAAACAGATTCACTCCAACACACCGCCAGAAAATTGCAATTTCAAAATGAATAGATGTGCAAATCTTACCAAACGGAACACCTTGTCACCTTTTCGGAGTGATCAGGTGAGCTCCGTTAAAGTGGGGCAAAGATGCAGTGTAATCCTCCTGGTGAGATGGAGGTGAGGCTCCCGGCGAGACGTCTCTCCTCATCGGAAAGTGTTCCTCTTCCCTCTCTTCCAGGAATACTTTCCGAAGCTTCGGCTCCCACTACAGGTACTGGAATGACTTCTGGAAACGCCCCCATGAGCGCCGGTCTGCCTCCGGGCTCAGTGGATTCGCCAGACCCGTCTCCGGGGCGGGGGCAGGGCCTCTCGAGGGAGGTGCCGAGAAATCCCTGCAGGCTAAAGTTCAGCCCACCTTGAGGAGTTGTTGTTAGGTGCCATTGAGTTGGTACCGACTCATAGCAACCCTATGCACAACAGAAGGAAACACTGCCCGATCCTGGGCCAACTTTGCCAATCCATCTCGCTGGGGGTCTTCCTCTTTTTCTCTGACCCTCCACCTTACCAAACATGGTATCCTTCTACAGCGATTGGTCCCTCCTGACAATATGTCCCAAGCATGAGAGACGAAGTTTGGCCATCCTGGTCTCTAAGGAGCCCTCTGGCTGCACTTCTTCCAACACAGATCTGTTGGTTCTTTTGGCAGCCCATGATACTTTCAATATTCTCCTCCAACACTATAACTCAAATGCATCAATTCTTCTGCAGTCTTTCTTATTCACTGTCCAGCTTTCGCATCCATATAAAGTTATTGAAAATACCTTGGGTGTGCTTGGGTCAGGCGCACCTTAGTCCTCAAGCTGACATCTTTGCTCTTCAACACTTTAAAAAGGTCTTGTGCAGCAGATTTGCCTAATGCAATATGTTGTTTGATTTCTTGACTGCTGATCCAAAAAGAATGAAGTCCTTGACAACTTCAAACTTTTCAGTTCTCCCTCTGTATGCATATTTTTGGAGGGATGGTGTTTTTTACTCTTGTATACCACATGACAATAGGTTCACTCAGTGGTTGACGATTAGTGAAAGATAAGGATGAAGCAAACTGGAACTGGGCAGGTGGGGGTGATAACTTGAACACTAAGCAGTGTGGCCAGAATCAGGTAGGAGTAAATAGGGAGTCACTGAAGGTTCCAGAGCTGCAGAGAGGCTGGATGGAAGCTGCGTTTTCAGAGCCTCAAAGGCAGGAAAGGTGAATGTGGGGAGAAGGCCCTGGGAAGGGCAGCCTGATTTTCTCCCAGCATGCTCTGGAGGCCACCACCTCACCTCTGTTTCTCTCCATAGTCGTGTCAACTACCTGACTCCGTGGTATTAATCTGTGAAGAGAAGGCTGACCCCAGGCTGCCGGATCATGCCGCCTCCACCCCCAGTGGGCCAGAGCACCTCTCCTCAAGAGTTCAGCCTGGTTAGAAATAAACGGAATGCTCCCACAAATGGGGCATCAGTCTCTGTGTGTGTGGTGGGTGCCATGGATGAATGGGTGTGCCCTCACCTGTCCAAACTCCTGGAGGACTGGTGGGGGGCTGGAGGGAGATGTGCTGACCCCAGGAAGAGAGTCAGTCTGAGCCTCAAGGCCCCTCCAGAGGTGGGAGGAAGGGGCAGACCTGAGAATTGGGTTTTCATTGTGGCCTTGTCCCCCTACTTGCAGCCCTACACCCAAGTCCCCTCTACCTCTGACCTTGGATTTGGGCCCTAAGGAGAAAGGAGGGCTTTAAAGTCGCAGCATCAATGGGCTCAAGCGTGGCAAAAATTGAGATTGGCCCAGGACTGGGCAGTGTTTTGTTCTGTTGTGCATAGGGTCGCTATGAGTTGATACCGACTCGATGGCACCTAACAACAACAACAAAAAGGCTTTTCAGGTGATGGACCCTGTGAGGCCCCACCATAGGAGCATGCTTTGGAGGGGTCTCTGTGAAGAGGTGGAGGCAGACTCAGGGGCTGACTGCCTGAGCCTGTTGGCTGTTTCCCTTGAAGCAGCAACAGAGTATAGACGCAAGAACACTAATGGGTCCCGGGTCCCTGAGACCATTCTGAAAAGAATGTTCCCTGTTTCCGAAGCCACTGCCAATGAACGTATCATCCCAGCAAACACTGTCTGCTATACTGTGAAGCAGCTCCAAGATTAGCCCTCCTTTACCCACCAAACCATCACCCCAAACCCTCCTGCTAAAGGAAGACGGGACAGTCATGGGGGCTCCTGGATTGACTTCAGAGTAACCCCACCCAAACAGGATAAGAGGACTGTTTCCCTCCTTTAGAGCATGGTTAGGACAGCCAGAGCCCACCCCACCCCACCCCCACCCCATCTGTGGGCCACCTTCAGGACAGATGGTAAATAGACACCAAACTGAACAACTGTCTATTCAATACTTCTGTTTGGGGGGTAGGGCGAGCTGGGGATCCATGGAATCTGTTTAAATCATGTGTAAAATCATGTCCACCTGCATGCACATCTTCTATGGGAAGGCTCTATTTTCATCTGGTTCTCAAGACAGTCCATGCCTGCAAAGGTTAAGAAACCCTGGTTTACTCTCTACCCCTATTGCATGCTAATATTCACTGCATACTGATTCCATATAAGGCTAGCAAGTCAGATGGAAGAAAGTTAAAAATTAGCAGCAGCCCCCTCACTTTGGTGGTGGTGGTTATGTGCTGTGGAGTCAGTTCCGACTCATAGCGACCCTACATAGGATTTCCAAGGCTGTAAATCTTTACGGGAACAGACAGCCTGCCTCATCTTTCTCTGGCGGAACAGCTGGTAGTTTTGAACTGCTGACCTTGAGGTTAGAAGCCCGACTCATAACCACTGTGCTATCAGAACTGGATTATACTGTTTAGAACACATTGTCATGTGATCCATTATCTCCTCCAGGCCTTGGAAAGTGAGCAAAACCAATGCTGTTCCTTTTCACACCTGGGAAAACTAAGACCACGCTGGGAGCACTATCTAGTCTCAGGCCAGAGAACTGATGGTTAAATAGAAGTCAGAACCCAGGACTCAAAACAAGTCTTAGCATTTGACAGAGTTCTCACATAGTGTGTGCTCAACATTTGTAGAATACATTCATGACCAGAATGCTGATATTTCTGCTGTCTTGAGTAGTAAATGAGGAGATAGGTTGTGGAGTTGTTTCATGTGTAAGAATCCCTTTCCAGCCAAGGCTGGCTGGAACCTTGGAAAGTTGGCAGAGGCTCCAGAAGTGTCAGAGCTGCATTCTGCGGCCTCGACTGCCCCTGCCCATTCGACAGCCCATAGGGGGAATGAATTTGCCCAAGGATGCACAATAGGGATACTAGAGACCTAGCCAGACTGGGGTTGGCCAAGACTAGCCCAAAGACTAGCCCTGCCCTAGCTGCTGAATGACTGGGCAAGTCCTTCCTGGAATCTGCCCCAGCAGACATTTGAGTCCTGTACTGAGTTCTCGGGGGAAGGTGTGGGAGGGGGAGACAGATAAGATGCTTCTAGACCAGTGGGAGAACAGGCAGGCCAGCCCAGCAATTCAAACCTGAAAGCAAAAGGTTCTATGTGGGCATATTTAGACCATAGTCCTCAAGCCCAAGATGCCGTGAATACCCTTTAGTTTAATTAGAGCTTCTTGCCCATCCATTGGATATTTAATCTACTTCATAAACAAAAACATAAGCCTAAGGAAAAGGAACTGCAGAGTAAGTGAGCATAAACAAGGCTAATACAGTAGACACTTCCTAGTTTTTAAATGCAAAGCAATGTATTAAGCGCTTTGTAGGCCATCCCACAAAGTGGGTTTAACGTTAGACCCATTTTACAGATGGTGAGATGTACTCAGAGAGGTTAAGTGACTGGTCCAAGATCATATAGCAGGTGTTCGGCAGAGCTGGGAATTGAAGTCAGCCTGCCCAAACCTGGGCCTGCACTCACTCATGTTCACCACACTCTACTGCTTCCTGGTTCTCAGCCTCCAGGTACTTTCTGCCCATTGCAAATAGATTACATCAGAAATCTCCCCTGCAGTCATGATCTTGGGGACAGGCCAGCCTTAACGTGGTCTCCATGCCTTCCTGGCCAGACCCCAACCTACTACTATGCCCCTGAGTCTCAATCCTTTACCAAAACACAAACCCACCCAGCTTTGTTGCTGTCCTGCAAAAACCTCAGGCTCTTGACCACCTCCAAACCTTTGTTCAAAACCTTCTATCTGGAACATTTTGCACATTTCTTCCCACCCACAACCCCCCTCCCTACTTCCTTGTAGGCAGTTCTCCCTCCAGTTGTGGCTTCTCCTCCTGTCCTCCCAGAAGGACCTCAGCTGTTTCAGAGGCCCCTTAGCCCACATGGATTCTCAAGGAATCCTGCTTTTACCAGCTCCTCTTCTCCCCTACCTGTGCCTGGGGCTCCAGAATGGAGCCTAGGGCCACCCAGAAATGCTGGTCTGGATTAAAGGAAACAATTACCAAATGACGTTATCAATTTCAACTCATAAGAGACCCCATGAAACCAGAAGGGACGTCCTGGGGGCGGGGACTTAGTAGAACTGCCACGGAGGGTTTTACAGACTAATCTTCACAGAATTACATCACTAGATGTTCTTCCCATGGAGCTACTGCAATAGGTTTCAACTGCCAGTTTTCTAGTTAGTAGCTGAGCACTTAATCATTGCATCATTAGGGTTCCTTTACAAATCAAAAACAACAACACAACACAAGAACACCTATACTTTCACAGGCTTCAATGGGTTGATGATCAGAACTCAACTAGAAGAAGAAAGAAGAGGGAAAAAAACAGTAACCCACTACAATGTGATGAACTTTACCTATACTTATGGATGTAGTAGCTCAAAAAATGGAACAAATCGTTACAGCGAGGATCACTCCCACCCCCTCAGTACGCAGGGTTGACAGGGATGGGCAACTTAGACATTGGTTTAATAATGTTTAATGCTTAATAATGAATATTAAGCAAAGTGAAAGAGACAAACGAGTCAACAGGGAAAGCTATTTCACATATAGAAAAAACCCACACCTTGTAGCACACAGATGTTTCCTTAAGTTTTAACGATTTAGAATACTGTATATTGTTGCTACCGAAGACATGCTTTAAAGTTTTCTGACCTACACAACATTCATGATTCATTGCCTTCCTTCTAAGAAGTCAAATGATTTCAATTTGGAGTGATGTTCTGTTTCGGAAAGCGAATTCCCGCGTGGTACGAAAAGCGTACACATGGGCTTTCTGAAAGAGATATGAAGATTGTAAGTGAATCATGCTATCCTCAAGAAATGGGAGAAGGCAAGCTTTCAAACAATTCAAAAAGGTCCTTTGGAATTAAAAACAGTCTAACACGATTTTATTTCCTATTTTGCAACAGTAGCAACAACATACAGTATTCTAAATCGTTAAAACTTAAGGAAACGTTCTCATCTGTGTGCTGTAAGGTGTGGTTTTTTTCTATACGTGAAATAGCTTTCCCTGTTGACTCGATAGTCTCTTTCACTTTACTTAATATTCATTACTTAAAATACAAATTCTATGAGATTGTATTTTTAACACTGACATCATATAAATCAAACTGGAGACATTCTTTACAGTTTTCTGACCTACACAACATTCAGAATTCATTGCCTTCTTTCTAAGAAGTCTACTGATTTCAATTTGGAGTCATATTCTGTTTCTGAAAGCGAATTCCCCAGCATGGTATGAAAAGCGTATACATGGGCTTTCTGAAAGAGATATGAAGGTTGTAATTGTTTGAATCTAGCTATCCTAAAGAAATGGGAAAAGGCGAGTTTTCAAACAATTCAAAAAGGTCCTTTGGAAACAAAAACAATCTAACATGTTATTTCCTATTTTACAACTGTAGCAACAAGATACAGTATTCTAAATCCTTACGCTTTAAGGAAACATTCTCATCTGTGTGCTACAAGGTGTGTTTTTTCTCTATATGTGAAAAAGCTTCTCCTGTTGATTCTTTAGTCTCTTTCAGATTGCTTAATATTCATTACTTAAAATACAAATTCTATGAGATTGTATTTTTAAAACTGACATCAAATGGGGATGGGCCTACAAAGGCAGGAAGTGACTGGCTTACAAACTTTCAAGAGGGAACCTAGTTTCAAACAGGGCAGGAGAAGGTAGAATCTCCACTGAATGATTTCCAGCCTGTTGGGAGGGGGCTAATGAAAGGAGATGCAGATAAGACTCGTGGGGTACAATAGTGAATAATTGTTATCAGGACTGACTGTGAGGGTTGGAAATGTAAAGGTAGATGTTTTGTAACAAACGGAGGGGAGTAACTGATTTTGCAGTCCAGGAGTGGAGTGCGGGACCGTACCAGAGAA